TGCAAGTTCATACTACTCTGTACTTTTTGAAGTAATCTCTTCATGTACAACCCCTTTAAGCTGTGGACTTCTAGAGATTTTAGGTTGTATTTCTCACGCACAATATTGTCTTCTTGTTTTTTTCTTTTAATTTTCTTTTACGATGTTTCTGCCCGGTTTAAAGATTTTTGTTTCAGGAGGTAGTGATAGCTACCACAGGTCGCTCCCCTATATATGCTCTCACATCCTGGAATTTGTATTCGGATTATAGAACCTTTTTTTCCCTAAAGATTGTGTCTCCCGGAGTTGTGAGTCAAGAAGGTATACTTGTTAAACTTTCAGGTTTTATTATTTAAATTTTAAAGCTAAAGAAAGTTTGCCTTATTTGAATTGCCATTGAATTGAAATGATTGGATTATTGAGCATCACTATTTTCTAAGAGATTACATGGCGTTGACCTCCTGCAATGTTAGAAGCACTTAGATAATGATCTTTAATCAGAAGAAATATATTTGGGCTCCCTGAAAATGGAGAAAAAATTGCTTATATACTGTACTACCGTGTACTGTATTTACATTAAGCAAAGGGAAAACGAGAAAACTCGTCGATATAACTGTTAGGTGGTGGAGAGGAAAGTAGAGATTATTAACGAGGACAAGCAGTGTTTATAGGGTTCAATAAAATTTGGGCTTGATGCAGTTACAGCTCTCACATTTTCTGCAGAACAGGCATATTTTGAAATCGGATCCAATGTACCAATCTAGTGACCTTTGGATGACATAGTGCTTAGTGTAAGTCGTAAGTAAAGAGTCGTCTTCCTACTAAATCCACAAAATCTTGAGATACGAGTACCAAGGTGACATATTACATCGTAGCAACAGCAAGAAAATTCCAAACGCCATCTAAGAATCATTTCATTCTTAATTTTACAACTATGTCCTGTATTGGACATAAATAGACCAGATTCTCGATCAGTGAGAAGTTGGAAATGATGAATAATCAGGAAATGACGCTATTTTTTCAACCCATGAATGATCCCTTCCACTTTGTTCTAGAGAAAAATGCCACACAGGCGTACCTAGTTGGTTTAGAGAAGCAGCAACGGAATATTCTGAAGCAACACTATTTTCAATGGAAGCAACAGCAGATTTAGCAATATCTCTTCCAATCTTCAATTACAGGTTCAGCCAAATAGGAAATGCCTTACAGGAAACTAGTCTATCCGTTTCGAGGCATGCGCAAACATACCAACACATTTCCTTAATAGGATTGGTCGGTGGGAAATGGAAGTTGCACCAAAATTTAAAGTCTGGTTTTGAAATATTTTGTAAGAATATATTTTGCTGTTAAGGATAAAAAGTTTTGAAGAGTTTTGTCATGTTCAGCTCCATTCAAATAAGGATATACCTTTTTTGGACCTTGAGATACTAATATTTGTTGAAAACAAGCTAGACACTTCATTTTAATCATTTGGTCAGGCCAAACAAAAGGACTTTTTATAAGTTACCATCTGCTCCAAAATCAAAGTGTCTTTCAATTAGAAGTGGATTCCCCAGATTCCCTAGATGTCGTTTTTTCAAATATCGTTGCAAGACCTTTGATCAGATCCGAGGCTCCGTAGGGGGGACTACTACGGGAATACCTCTACATTTATCAACTTTAAGTTTTCTACCGCTTCCGGTTTGCCCTGTAACCTAAACCTTGACCGTTCACCAGTTGCCGCAGCTAAACCGGGGAAAGACGGGCTAAAGAGAAAATCGCTAGATACATTTCCTACCTACTTTGGAAATCTTGTTTTTGGCTTATTATTTGATGAAATTTCCACAAATATTTTTCTAACGTTAACGTTACAAATTTCCTGTTTCCAACACCAAAAAGTAACAAAGCCCGTTAAACCACCTAAAAATGCATGAAACGCCCTTTAACGAGACACGTCTCCGAATAATGAAAAGCGGGGCCGGTTTTAATAGCATCCATATTGATTGAATCACGTGGTTCGGATTGCCTAATAATAGACCATTTTGTCATGTGACTATGACAGGGCAATAAGAGAAGCATGGGAAAATTCGTCCTTCTCCCCTCAATTGCTGTTAACTTGCTTACTCTCGAATCGTATTGATAACTTTAGAACTAGATTGCCGTGCAAAATCGTCATTTCATTCAATGATTATTGAGCCTAAACTAAATTAGTAGTAGGACATTTGTTTCAATCGCAGATTTGATATTATTCTACTGACAAGATTGAATAAGGCTGTATTTGAAAGCATTGGGACAAAGTGGTACAAACATGTATAAAGTATATGTGCTTAAAACGATATGGGAGACATATGGAAAATCAATAAAACACAGTTACAAAAAATAACTTTAATCTGTTTTTGATCGTATTGTATTTCTTGTAATAGCGGGTTGTTCACACTGGAACCAGAGGACATAGGGAAATCCTTAATAGTTCGATTGTTTTTGCTTATATAGGTAATAGGTCCTCTGGTTGGAAAGAGAAGCCTCGAAATTTCATAAGTTGGAAAACGCATTTTTGAAAACCAGCCACAGAAAACCAATACGACCACAACAAAACAGAGACATCAAAATATTTGACATAATTTGCGAATTGCCATCTTAATGTAGGAATTTAATCTGTAGTTTTGATAGGGAAGGCTAAGGGTAAACAAAAACCCTAACCTAACTAGTAGTCTTTGATAAAGGTTTCCTATGTCTGAAATGGTTTGACTCTCATTTTAAGTTGTACTAAAGCCTGTTCATTATTGAAGAGAACCCTAACCATCGACCAAAATAATCGCTATTTCTAATGGATGTAGGTAATATATCAAATATTAAGATTTTTTAACTTTTTTTGCCGCAATAAACAAAATTTAGCAACTACCAAAATAAGCTCCCCTTATCGATAGTACAAGTTTCAAGTTTTCTTATTAATACTCGCTTTTTCGGTAGTAATGAATATTGCAAATTGTGAAATATGTTTTTTTTTTAATAGCCAACGCGCACTGATAACATTGTTAAAGTTTTTAACTGCGCGGTTTTACTTGCTAAGCAGACATATTTTGTTACCGAGTTTGCAAAATTTGTGTTTTATATTAGCCTACCTATGCCGAGAATAATCTTATTATACTTATTATAGGCTTTAAGTACAAATTTCTAACTGAAGTAGGAGTTCAAACAACAGTGTGCTGTTATCGCGCTTATCAAATATTTGACCTACGAAATTTTTCGAGATTATTGCAGCTGTTTTGTGTCGTAAAAAAGTACAGTAATATCCTCCCGGTTGGTTTAATATAAGTAGCTATTAAAACCTTTTATTCATAAAAGCTTATACAGGGAATGTATCAATTTACACTTACAAACGAATTATTGCCTTGCACGAGCTGTAACGTTTCAATAAAATTTAATTATTCTGGCGAAAAGCCCGCCACACAAATAAAATTTTCCTCGATAAACTCGGCTGAAGCCTGAAATATTGTCGGAATTACGTTGGGTAACAGAGGGATCAGGCTCGGATCGAAAGTATTTTCTAAATATTTTAGTTACAATGATCGGATCAGTTTTGGAGCTGCGGCATTTAAGGGGCAGGGGAACACAAGAAACATGGATTGAGATGTGTTTGTTCAAAGAATGTTAACAGTGTGGAAAATCGGAACACTACCTCGAGTTATGTCTGAGTAATGACTAATAACAGGCATCTTGAATGGCCACAGCCCAGGTGAACAAACATTTATCAGATTGCATCTTAGCACCACACCCTTGTGAAGGGCTTATAATCAAGAAGAAGGGACGATGGAGCACATTTTTTGTGACTGCACACGCCAATACACAGAGCCAGATAAAGCAGATCACTGCTTTTTTGTAGATCGAAGTAATCTATCATAAACATTCATCATTGTTCTGCGATTAACATTCTTTGTGCTGGGCTGATGTTATCTGGATGGCTGATGTTATCACGGAATGGAGGCCCAAGACATTCTTCAAAAATTGATTCCCCTTTCGTTTGTTGTTTAACTTCTCTAGATAATAAAATCGCAAACATTATTGTCAAATGTATCATCTGATTGTAGACCTCTGGTGACGTTTCGCATCTAACAATATAAAATTTTTGTCAACTAATCACCAAATTTCAACATATTCACTTCATCTGGATGCCTATCCCTTTCAAATTTTGAAAACATAGTATTCTGTTGCAACTAAGTATAAGTATCGTAGTTTTTAGTATAGTGGATCTTCAAAGTGCATACCACCAAGTCCTGATGATGAAGATGCAAAACTTTTTGTCGTGACAAATGAACTAACTTTTCCACAAGTAATGTACCATGTAATATAAAATTTGTTAGGTTTCTAGGATACCTAATTGGAGACAACATTTCGAAACTAAGATCCTTCCAGGCTTGAACCTTTGATATGGAACTTCCACTTCCCACACACACACATCCTTGTTAAGAAGAGTTGCTAGTATATTTTCTCATTACTCAAAATGGATGCCTTCCTTTTTACCGACTAGTTTCCTGAAAAAATTTCCTTTAACTTGTAATTATGAAGCTTAAAACAAATATTGTTAAATCCGGTGTTGCATCTATTGAGAATAGAATTTCGTTAGATGCCTCAGAATATTCCATTACTGCTCCTTGTTTGATTTAAAAAAATCAACCCTAATGACCTGCTGAGATAATGAATATGACAGCATAAATCACCAGAATTTTCAAATGTGCAAGTTTTTTTTCACTTCCGATGTCATCATGGTTTATACTCCAATAGAATCACCCCCTATAATAATAGACATATTATCACGGTCATATATTTACATTTTAACTTTCGAAATCCAGTATTTAACGCCTGTGACAATATCTATATCAACTCGCGGAATCTCAAATTACCATAACAAGCGGCTCAGGTTGCAATTTATATCCAATACATAATATACTACGCGGTCATACCGGTTTTATTTAATTTAAGCAGCTCGATATCAATTTCAATTTCAATATTTATATGCAGTAAATTCAAAAGAAAAATCTTACCTTTTCCCATTTGAAAGTATAGGCCACGTCCATGAGACTAAAATCGTTGGGAAGGACTTCTCCTTTATAGATGATATCAACCTGTAATTTACCATAATGTCAGTTTAGAATATATTGATGAATATAGATAAAGAATTCTTACCCTATGATCTGCACTAAGTCCATACTTCATTCTTACAAATTTCTGCAAATGTTTCATATTGACACCTGCAGGACATTGCAAATACCTTTTATCACATACTCGCGGTTTATCACTACTAGACTTATCACTATTAATATTATTATTACATTGTCCGTTATTACGAGCGTTTAATTGATCACTTGTACACTTTTTTGTGTCTGTGGTGTCTAGAGTCGCTTGATAGTACTCTAGTGACAGAGAAATTGAGTCGTCTTGATTGAAGTATTGATGGGATTTGTCACCAACGGACTGAGAGGACTAGATAAGAAAATGTAATATATTAGAAAATAATAAAGCAAAAATCGATTAGGATTCTTACCATTTCCTCCGTTGCGTGTATCATATCCCTTTCCTTGTCGATGACGCTGTCATCGCTGCAAGAGCTTCCAGCCCTAATCCCGGTGCTTCTATAAAAATCATCCCTCCGTTGGGTTTCTTTTAGATATAACGAAGGGACTGATTTGTATACGAGGGCTTGAAGTTGCTTGTCAGATCTAGAAGAAATGATGGAATAATTTAATAATGTTCCATTTTATATAGGGATGTTCTCCCGTAATCGCGATTGCAATTAGTCGCGACAAAATATGTTGAGTACGATTCTTCTGAATCATGACTGCAATTTTTGAGAATTTATCTATTGGGGATGTCATTTGCATAGGCTCTTATTGCGGCCAAAGTCAGTAGTTAACATGACATACGTGAGATCTCAAACGCGACAAGAATATTAGAATTTTCTTTGGTATTGATGTCATTAAATATTTATACTTATTATTCCGTCTAAATGTATGACATTATTTTGCATCTAGAAGAAATAAGTGATAATCACCATGTTATCGCTGATGCATGTTTTGAGACCTCTTTTAATATACATGAGAAGGTTCCATATGAGCGAACAGAAATTTGCATTTTTTAGATAGCCCCAATTATAGGTATTCGCAGCGTTGCCAAGCCTTATTATCATGATGGACAAATTGATTCTAACTTCATGTGTCAGGGGTCATGTATCCTATAGGGTTAGAATAATATGTAAGGGACATATTTTGGCAAATATATAGCTATCTACTTTTTTTATTACTCGAGTGAATTTCTCTCCATCAACCCCCAAAGCTACAACCCCCATGTCACCCCTGTAAAACAGGCAATTGTGAGATTATACATTTCGAAATAACCACCGAGAGAACGTCCTTAAACCTGCGATTATCAAATGAATCATTCAAAATAAAATTGTAGTATATTCTTAATTCTTACCGAAAACATTGCGACTTTTTCTTGTACAACGCAGGACAAACTGGACACTGGGTCTGGGCTTTGCTATTTTCAAAATGACGCAGGATGCATCCTCGACAAACTGAAATTAAAACATTAAAAAATCATATTACTCACTAGTTATCGCTCATCATATACAAAATTAAAATCAATAAAGTCAGTTTAAGCCAAACAAAAATTAATGCGGGTTTTGTAGAATTGTTTGGCTATGAATATAGACTTGTTAAAAGGTTATGTACCCCTATTAGCATTAAGTTGAATAGTTAATAAATGTCAGTGGTGTGGTTTAGTTAAAATACCTGTTTTTATTATTGTCATACCTACTTGGCAATAAATGGTATTACTTTATTAGTGGAATATTAATTGAGTAGGTATTTATAGTGTCCAGCTTTATTTTCTTGAGGGTATACTTTAGCCCCAAAATTCCACTAAATATAGGTACCTACCTGATTAATAGTTTTCTAATTCAAAATCATGAAATTTCCACTTCTGTACCTGTACTAAATAGGTCACGATTTCAAAAAGTGACTGAGAGCTTATCGACTTTCTGACTAATGTAACAACGTACCAATGACGTCATTATGTTTGTATTATAAATTATTTAAATTGTTTGTTTATTTAAACGGCGGTCGGGAGAGAAATAGAATATTCCAACGTCAGGAATACAGAAGCTAAGCGGAGGTTTCGGAGCTTTTCTGAAATTTAATTAAATAACTTACACGTATGCAAACAGTCCACTAGGGTTGTAGCGTCCACAAGATATCCGTGGCACAATTTGCATGTGAAGAACTCATTTAGGTCTCGCACGCAGTGTTTTTTTCTCGATGGACACTCCATGATTGATTTAGATCACCTGAAACAAAAAAAGAAACAATTTAACAATGAACTACTAAAACATACATAATGACGTGATTCCATGAAAATGCATGCATATCAAATTGAATGTATGACGTAGACACACAAACAACAATAAAACAGTCAGGCAGCTGCACGGGTCTTGTGCATGAGTGTCATGCCTGGCCAGGTCGGCCCCTCCCAACTCTACGCCCACTTCCTACTGACCCCTCGTGAAAGAAGAACCCACAAGAATGAGAGCCGCACGCCACGATCGAATTAAGTCGCTATAACGACCCAAGATTAATAGTACCAGGTTTAAAATTTGTTGGTAGCTGTTAGGAATTTTCAGGTTTATTCTCATCGAATCAAGTATCGAGTGGATTTTTAGAGCAAGCTTTAATGGTTAGAATAAAGAGCTTTTGCTTGATCCTGACTAGGAGGAGCGTGTTTCCGTTTCCCTGTGACTTTGTTTTGAGCATATTGTCCTCATTAATCCATTGAACTCAATACTTCCAATACGTAAGTACCTGGTAATTGGCATTTCAAACTAAACATTCCGCGTAATACCAGGTAGGTAATTAAACTACCTCTACTTGTTCGAATACGATGTTCTTGAGCTAGGGGGGTTGCAAATAATATGTCGGCAATTTCAATCCAGAACATTATTCTCAACTTCAGAAATATTCTGATTAGCAGGAAGAAACATCATCGAAGACTCTGCAGTTTAGATCTCCTCCTTGGAAGGATTTCTTGTTGTTTTTGCTCCTTTCATGCGTCCATATTGGCTGGATTGTTCTCATATACCTATTGTGTACACAACATTGAAAGACTGGACTTGATTCTTGAAGATCCAATTTATTCAAAAGAAACTCCAAGCTTAGGTACAACATTAACCAATTATATTTTCGGGGATAATACCACGAGAGCTTTTCAAAATTACGGATAATTTTTCACGATTTGCGTGTTTTCTATAATTTCACGAGTCCGTAGGACGACTGAAATTTGCAGAGAAAACACGCATGAGTGAAAAATTATCTGGTTCATTTTGAAGCTCAAGTGGTATTTAGAGGATTATTCCACTCATGTGTTAGAAATCCCATAAGACAAGTGACGATTTTCAGAATTACAGCGAAAAATCTCTTTTCCATTTGTTTAACTAGAGAGAATTACAGCGATAATTCTCCCATGTTATTGTATACATGGTTGTCATGCTAATTTTTGATACAAACAAACGGTTCCTGATAGCAACCATTTATTTGTATTGATTGTTAAGATGTTCAAATCGTTTAATACATATTTAGTTCCATATTTTTTGCATTCTCATACGTGAAATAATCCTCTAAATACCACTCGAGCTTTAAAATGAACCAGATAATTTTTCACTCATGCGTGTTTTCTCTGCAAATTTCACTCGTCCTACGGACTCGTGAAATTATAGAAAACACGCAATCGTGAAAAATTATCGGTAATCTTGAAGCTCTCGTGGTATTATCCCCGATTATTTCACGTATGAGAATGCAAAAAATATGGAAATAAATATGTATTAAACGATTTGAACATCTTAACAATCAATACAAATAAATGGTTGCTATCAGGAACCGTTTGTTTGTATCAAAAATTAGCATGACAACCATGTATACAATAACATGGGAGAATTATCGCTGTAATTCTCTCTAGTTAATCAAATGGAAAAGAGAATTTTTGCTATAATTCTGAAAATCGTCACTTGTCTTATGGGATTTCTAACACATGAGTGGAATAATCGGGGTTATTCGCGTTTTCCAAAATTCCCATCGCTGCCTTACTACACTGATAAAAATACCCGATTGAAGACAAAAGAATGATGCTTTTGGATTTTTTTTCTTCTATCAAAGAAAATTTCTTTCGTTCAAATTCTCTGCTCTCAACTGAAAATCATTGATGCTTTTCCAATAAATTAGTAGAAAGTAATGGGCTCTTCCACTAATTTTTGTAATTGGCATATTTGGATAAAGCAACTAAAAACAGAATTTTCTGTATTTTTACTTTTGAAAAATTCATAGTCCTTCTTGAGAAAACAGAAAAAAAAGAAATACCTCCAGATAAAAACCCAGAATTTATTTCTATGACGTCGCAGCTCGCAATTTGACCGTGTTGCCAGTTGCCACTAATTGTCAACATTGAAAATTTGTAATAGATTTAATTCTGAAATGTTGGCAAAATCTCATGAAAAGTAGTTAAATTAATTAGTTATGGATTCTTGCTTTTATAATATATTTTTTTTAAATTATGCTTAAACACAATTTAATACAATTTTTTATGTTTAGTTTTATTTCTTTATTTTACGCTGCACTTCATTTAGTCACAACCGACAACAGCGCATTCGAACCTTTACGTATCTTTACAGAGCGCAACACAGCCGAGCCGGTCAGCTCCTTGCAACAACATAAGCGAAATCAAGAATATTTATGTGACGTCAGCAAATCGGCGCGTTTTAAATAAGTTTGAATTTCACCAGATTCAAGTGCCTGTAAAAAACTTATTTAACCTTGTAGAACATTTTTTTTTGGTATATATGCCTAAAATAGTCCCTCCTTTGGGATTTTATACTTAAATTACGTATTTGAATTTTAGTGAAAGAGCCCATTAGTATTGAGAAATTCGAATGGAAAAATGTTTACTCTTAAATTGATTTTAATTAAAATTATTTGGTAGCACAACTAAACAAAGGCCGAGACATTCCTATGCATAGGTGGACGATACACCAAGATACTGTATTTAGTCGCGGCTGTGTTTGCCAACTTACTGTAACCTATACGTGTTTATCGATATACAGAGCAAAAATTAAAAAATAATTTAGACTAATGTGTGTCCCTTTGTGTTTTGGAATGTTTCCTACATTGTTATTTGACGTCAAACGCCCTTGCTGGTAAAAAATAGGTATGTAATTCCTTTCAGATTGATTAATTAATAATTACTGCCCAGTTTGTGTTGTTTTTTGTTCTTTTTTTTGTATGTGTTTTTTTTACAATTTTTTTATTAAGTTTTTTACTAATTTTGTACTATTTTATTCACATTTCTTACGCCATGTATATCGGGAAAAAAATGTGTTATTCGGTTTAGAATCTATCTCGTTCGTGTCTTGCCAAACATTTTAAGATCATTTTTTGTTTGTAGCCTGTGAAGAAGACCAAATATATGGTCGAAACGTCGGCATAATTTTTTAAAAAAAGGGAGTTTTATTTCCAAAGTCCTGAACCCATTATCTCTACTCTATCTATTATTTGGTAGTTAAATTTTGTCCCTTTCGCAATTTTTTAAGCTAAGCTCTTTTCTGAAAAGATCTTAGGAGATTCTGCACTAAGACTAGGTATATAGGTACATTTAGTCCCAAAACTATTCCGGATCTTTTGGGAAACGAATAATTCTTTCACTTAAGAACTCAGGGTTTTAAAACAAGTATTCACGCATTAATCGTAATATTTTGAATTAAAAATTTGTTGGTTTTATAACCAAATCATTATATTTTACGTCAAAAATATCATGTCTTTTATTTAAAATCAAATTATTTTGAAACAATCTCTTCATGAATTTAAACAAAAATAATAAGGCTTTGGTCTAAAAACTCGTTGCCTTTTCCTCAAGGTTTTTCAAAAGTTGAGAAAACAATGGTTTTGAAACAAAAGAAATGTACAATTACCATAAAGTCATAGTTTCTTGACTTCAATTTCTATAACTTTGGACTAAAAGAAACTAAACGTTTGGCTTGAAGTTTTCCAAATTTTGAGACAAAATGTCCATGCATTTCAAATGCTTGGCGCCCTTGAGAGAAATTCAATTTCCTTTGAACCAAGGAATCCTTTTTATCTGTGTGGGAATATTAGGCCGTACATCGAACGTCTGTGTTTGGATACTGGCAACAACGATGGTTTCAAGTGATCAGCATGAACATATCGCACTCTTCCCTCTGGAGTCATCATAAGAATTTATTCCAACTGCCTTTAACACCTTTGCTGTAATCCATTTCCTATGCTGTGTTAAGTATAACACATTGGTATAACATGACTGACTGATTAATCAAATACAAATTTTTCGAATGAAACATATTAAGTTTTGTTCTTGGGATCTGTTTAAACATCAATTCTGCTGGTGATTTTATAGTAACCGTACTTGGACTATTCCTATATTTAAACAAAAAGTTATCTAGCTTATGATCAATTGAATCGCATTTCTGATAAAAATCTCTGTCAAAAATGTCATTCTGGCATATCTCTCTTAATTTTTAGTATCGACTTATACAACTCAAAAATTCCTTCTTTAATGAGTTTTTAACCGTCGAAACTGATTTTCCCGCACTTTCGTTCGATTCCGGCTGATAAGGTGGAGTGTTGACTACTTGTAGGTATTGCATTGGATCTACAAAGTTTATGAAATTCATCGCTATTGAAAGGGGGTCCATTGTCCGCCACTAAAACTTCAGGAAGACCAAACATACTAAAAACTTTACGAATTCTCGTTATCGTTTGCTGAGCATGTGTTTCTTTCATTCGAAAAATCTCTTATCATTTCGAAGTACTATCTATCACTAAAAAGAATTATAACCTCCCAAGTCATAAAAGTCAACGTGAATTCTTGAAATTTTTTTCTCGCTCTTGGTCCACGTTGATATGGTGACATTCTTTTCACGATTACTTAGAATTTGGCATGGTTGACATTGATTAACTAAACGCTCTATATTACCTATCATTGATGTTTGGCCACCAAAACTCACTTCTAGTTCTTAGCTTCATTCTTACCATTTCAGGATGACTCTCATGTAATATATCCAACAATTTGTCTCTCAAAGATTCTGGCACAACAACTCGATTTCCCCAGAATAAACATTCACATTCAACGCTTAACTCATTTCTTCGTTGAAAATAAGGCTTTAAGTTATCTTCATTGCAGTAAGACCATCCATGTTTAACATGGTCAATAACTTTATTTAAACATTTATCTTTCTTTGTCTCTCTACAAATCAACTCGGCTGTGGTGGGT